TGGGCCATAGATCATCAAAATATCCTGCGAAACAGCGTAAGAGGAGATTAGAATGAACATCGTTTAGTGCCATGTGCTTACCAAGGATAAAAATAAGGATGATAAAGATGAATTCTACACGAACCTGCAGTCAGTCATCAAGAAATCTTTCACGAAAGACCTGACCATTCTGACTGGAAACCTGAGTGTCAAGGTAGGATTAAACGAAACCGAACACGAAGACAAGAACCAAAACGGTGAGAGATATACGGGTCTATGTCCCTTCAAGAAACTTTCCATAGGCGGCACCATATTCCAACAAAACGAATGCTCAAAGTGACATGGATTACACCGGATTACAGGAATAAATCAATCTTACACGCATCAATGGAAAGTTCGGTCGACTTAAGGACAAAGTGAGGAGCGGACATTGGGTTTTGTGACAGAAGAGGCACCATCACAAGGAATGGATTTCCGAGATTACTTTGGACATTATCCAATAAAGGAAGATTTGGAAGTTACACAAAGACACATGCTGAATAGGTAAATTTAGGAAGGCAAATTAAGTGGGGCATCAGAGATCATGAGCAATAACAATAATAATTTTTTCGGATACAAGAATATTTGACATGTGGAAGACCTAACAATGATGGAATAAAAGCAGCTTGAGAATGAAATATACGACAACTACCCGACACAACGAAGAATTTGGCTGGAAAATATAGTTAAGCAGAATCAACAGTGAAGAACCAGGAAGGCAAAGCAATCACTGACATAGAGGAACATCAATACCAGTGTATAAAGCATTATAAGGAACTTTTGTACCGATCAGCCTCAGTGAGCGCGCCGAACACAGAAGCAGCACCCACAAACCAGACAATAAATTACGATCCACCAATTAATGAAGAGATATGCGTGGCAATCAGACAATGAAGAGTGGCAAAGGAGCAGGACCAGACAACACAGAGTAGTAACTGCCAAAATTTGGGACTACTTTCAATAGACTGGATACCCTGTCAAGATGCTAAGCAAAGGAGATCTCCTCAAAGGTGATAACTACCGTGGAATTATCTACTTATTTTGACTCCTCACTCCTCTCACCGGAAGTATTACTTCATTGTTTCATGCTAACTAAATACTTTATCGTTTATAACGATTTTTTGTGTAGTGCTCTCTTTCAGTTAATTTTTTTCTTTACCTTTTTAAATATAGTTTATCACCATAGTCCATTGTAATTAGTAATTATTTTTGCAATCGTCGTTCCCAATGTTAGTAGCTAGTGACAGAACTTACTTACTTTTTATTTTTTCATTAACTTAAGTCCTTTTCTACTGATGTTAACTTCCTAATAAGGATTAGATTGGTAAAAATGATTATATGTATCATATGCACATTAACTTTCTTTAATCAAACTCAAAATAATAAGTCAGTTTAATGAACACTGTTTTATTAAATTAACAATTACTCATAGTTATTAAGATAACCATGATCAATATGTAGACTGTCACAATCTATATTAATAGCCTAACTGATCTAATAATGTTATGACATTCATTTTACAATAATCCCCTTTGCCCACAGACTAATTATTAATCAGCCACTATAAGTCAACTCCATTGGCTCCCAGAAAGCATTCGGTAATGAGAACATGATGACACTAAAGGGCCTTCTTTGACACTATGGCGTACCTGAAGAAATTGTCGACATCATAAAGAATCCTTTTGATGGATTAAACTGCAAGATCGTGCAAGTTCAACAGCGAACGGGCTCATTTCAATTTACTATCGGCTTCATGCGAGGTTGCTTACTCTTATCCTTTCTATTTCACCTAATAGTGTGCTGAATCGTGAAGACGTCAACATTTCAGTGGAATCATGATTGAGTTTGAATGCATCTGGACGATTTGTACTTCGTAGACGATCCAGCTCTTCTATTGTGCACACCGAAAAAATGTACGAGATTACCAGTGTAGTAGCAGGTTCTTCTGCATTAAGTCTCAACAAAAATACGGGATAAGGCATAATCCTCCGAGAAAATACATCATTGACTGGTCCGATCATACACGATGGGTAACCTTCGGAAGATGATGGAACCTCCACATTCCTAGGTAACTGCAGTGATAAACAATTTGGAACTTAACCAGATATGAGGACACGAAGTGATGCATTTGAACGACATCCGGAATTCCAAACATCTGCCAACCAATAACAAAGTTACCATTTTCAATACCTATATAAAGATAGCTCAATCGCATGGAGTGCAACCTCGAAGAACTACAGAAGCCATCATCTAAAAGATAGAGGTGTTTGATGAGAGTTGTCTACACACAATACTTCCGATCCGTTGGCCGGATGCATTCAGCAAAATCCTACCGTGGGACAGAATAAACCAGCTTCCTCCAACTGAGGAAGAAATTAGGTAGTGGTGGGGGGTTGATAGAACACACTTTGAGAGAAGAACCAGCTTTGTCAAAAGAAAACAGGACGACTGAAGAAAACGTTAAGCGGAAAGTTGGTAGTAGACATGAAAAGGATGAACAGCAATTTGTAAATACATGATAGGAGAATACTGGACACCATTAAAGGCGCACAAAATATTGTTTTTTCAAAACGTATTTTTTGGATGGAATAATACATCTTCGGTTGATCAGAAATTCCGTGCTACAGAGTATGGAGGAGAAAAACTTTCTCAATCGGATTACTTCAAGCTTTCGTCATCTGAGCAAGAACTCTATTGGCATGCTGTTATTGTGTCTAGTTTCGGTCTTTATCCTTGCATTATTAGAATGTTACGACACTGTTTAGTTTGATGACTTAGTGCAATTGTACACTTCTCACTCCCGTTGCTCATCATCGACGACAGAAAATGTTTTAGAAGGACTTCTAACAAACACTGTCTTACCACATTCAAAAGATCTACATTGCTATATCGTTCTCTCGAATCCCCTGTTTTTAAAAGTCGTGGATGCATTGTCAGTCATATTACGGACTAATGAAGTAAACTCGTCCACTAAAGCCTATTTGGTCGCACAAACGGGGTTTTTCCAAATATTACTATTTCAAAATGTACTCTAAATCAGAACATGCAGTATAGAAGTAGTCGAAAGGAAACACTCATGTTCGCCATATCTGGGTCACTTTTACTTATCAGACACAAACGGTCGTGTGTATCAATATTTTCTTCTGCTTCTCATATGTAATGATTAGTACAATTTAGACAGGTTAGGGTGGAGACAATAACCGTGGCTTAGGTGCACTTTAAAATGAATGTAGCCTTTTGGTTAGTTTAATTCAGTTAGGCAGTAGCTTTCAAACTTAACAGGTCATCAACGATTACGGAAACTCAGCGAATCGATCACTGTAGGATGTGAAGTTACCATAGGCCTTGATCTGTATGGTCTGTGTCCCTACAAGAAGAAATGATACTCACAGGTACATTATCGATAGTCCAGTGGTTAACTGTCAGAAATCAACACTGAACTGTAGTTCGAGAAATAGTGAGAAATATGTAGAAGTCACTTAGAGCTTACAGGATATAATCTCCTAGGACTGAACATCAAGATATCATATTGTGTTCGCAGCAGTTTTATGATACATTGCTTGACGCTTTCGCTCCTCTTGACACATCATCATTTCGAACTATCAAAGGAGCTTTTAAAACGGTTTTGCAGCAGACGTTTTGGTTAATTAATCTAATTTTATTTTTCTGCAGATGATTATTCCAGTTAGTTTTTGAAATAAAAAGCTAAGCAGAAAAACTCATGTTGGTAGTATATTCACCATACAAAAAAGACGTGAGGCATACCTTCTCGTAACGTGTAAAAGAGCGTTACAGTTGCTTATCGAATCAGGTAATTCAAGTAAATTTCCCGGGGTTCTTTGCTTGTTATCTCTGTTTCACCTCCCTTACTTACACTTGAACAATGTTCACTGCCAGTTAATAAACTAAATCTTACTCTTATTGGCATTAAAATTCTCCCCATATAATTTTCCATATTGCAGACAACTGATCTCCGGTCTGGCAATGTGATAGCTGCTGGTATCCAGAAACGCTACTACACTGGAACAAACTTTTACATTCAAATCACGGGACATATAAACTCACAAACGGCTGCCAAGTGACTAGAATTACACAGTCGAGTGGCTATACCTCCATCCAACGAAAGTCACAAAATACCTTGAACCCTACCGGAAGAACGAGAATCAGCCGCAAAGAAATCAATTGGCTTATACTAGCTAGTGAAAAAGATATTGGATGATAATACATGATACATTCTTGCGGACATAGGATTCTATATAAGAACAATTTCTCAATATTTTTCTTCCAATAATTTCATTCATGTAGCTTTACATCTGGAGGCATTAGTGATACGGAAGATTGTTACGATAAAAGTACTATTCCGTCTGAAACCATTTGCACCACCAAACTTTCACCTTGAATGTGGCACATATTCGAATGATGTTATGTTATTCAAATCCAATATGATTATTATTTTTGTTGTATTCGTACTTATATTCGCTAGCATCCCTCGTTTTCGTGCGGATTCTAGTAACAGTGTTTGTGATTCACAGCAGAAACTGTTTGATCCCATTATCAAGAGTGGAAAAGCCTTGGAAGTAGTAAGTTTTTGTTGTAATAACTTTTGTAGTTCTACTTCGTCAATGATACAAAAGAAACGATTCAGTTGACATGGGCGGGTGAAAATAGTGGGGTAATTTTTGTTATGTGTGTCTTTAGTTGTCAGGTTTTAATACTAGTGACGATGACTGAGGGGGAGTCTGGCCCTGGACTTACATCCGACATATATCGTAGGTAAGAAATAAATGTTTTAATGCCATTTAGTGACAACAATGGTAAAACTTTCACAAAGATTACTCAGCAATTGGGTGAGAATATTTATATCCGAAGGGAAAACGGACTTCAGAGACATCAGAATCAGAGAGACTCGAAAGAAGTAAGTTACGTCCATCACTCTTTCAGGGATAGCTCAGCTATTCGTCATATGTTATGATGTAGAAAACATGAGTAGATCTATGATCTTCGTTACTGAAGACGGAGGTTCCACTTGGCAAAGGTCCAGCGTACCATTTGTCTTAAGTGGCCAGCTGCGTTTTTATCCACGTGAAAGACTGTCTCCTTGGGTTTTGACTTTAGAAGAAAAAACTTCAGTAAGTTCAGTAAGTTTATATAATGTCTTTCACTCAGATTTTGTATCTGTCACTTGACAATGGAAAAACATGGAAACCAATTCACGATAATGTTGTAGATTACTTTTGGTTTGTTATATACGTAAAATTAATCTTATTTAATGTAGGTCTATTTATGAATCAGATCCAGGAGAAACAGTATACATACTTTATCAACCTCAGTCTGATAAAAGTAAGGCTTTTTTGAACTCATTTTATCATGAAAACGAAGTTATTTATCATTATTCAATTCTAAATTGTGTGCCCGTGATTTTAACAAAAGCAGTGTTAGCTTTTGGTTGTTGGTCCTTCATATTTATTACCTATCAACTACCATACTGTAACGATCTAAACATTACTGAAACAAGGTAGAAACAGTGAAGGTGAGGTTTCAGTAAATGGGCTTAAGTTACTTTAGAGCACTTAGCGATGTTAAATTTTCTTGGAGATATCTCCAGTAAAGTGGCTTAAATTATGGCTTAAAATAGTGAATATTAAAATCACTGCCACCTATTGACAAAAATTACACTCAAATTAAACTTGCTTTCCTGAACGTTAAGTCTGAAAATACTCCCACTAAATTCGGTCGTATCCTTATCGATGCGTTGGGGTTGCTAATGATATTTTAAGTTTTCTAAAATCATTTTTATTTTTCTTGAATTACAAAGAGAAATTTATTTTAGATGTTTAACAGCAGAGTGGAAAATAACTTTATATCTCTTAAATAATTTTCAACTATTCGAATGTATAACCCTGAGGGTATGAGTGCGACCATAGGAAGAACTTCTGTGTCTATTAACACTGGAATATTTCCATCAGTTAAGTATATATCTGCATTTTAGCATATCTTATCATATTTATTCTCTTGACATAATGATTTCCAGTGCTTCAAGATTCAAAAGTCTTTTGATGCTCAAATCACATTACTTCTGTTAGCACAAATATAGCGTCTGACAGTGAAATCAGTTCCGTCCAAAGACCGAAGAATATCTCATCATTTATATTAAAATTATGGATTTGCAATAGGATTTTTCACCTACCCGCATTTATGGAATACTTCTTATTATACTGCAACATACATATGACGTGATAGCTTAGCTACAACGTAGAGCTCCGTATGTTCGTACCTCACTTCAATTTGCCACGCCACATTACCACACCGAGATCGTACTGTCAATTCAGAAACAGTAGTAGTAAAGGTAGCAAAAATATTGGCTATAATGGAGAAAATTACTGATGGAAGTTGTGATTCGATAATTATACCCTGGAATAATCCATGTAAACAAAGAGAGATCATGAGGAATTCAGATGATTAGAACAAGACAGAAGACTAATAATGGATGAATCTGCGCCATTGTTAACGGTTTTGGGTCATTTCATTCAATGTCTCTAACAATCGGTTACTATCATTTCGCGGACCAAAACCACGTAGTGTACACCTATCAATATGGCTTAGTCCAGTTATGAGTGACTTTACGAATCTGGGCCATGTTTCGGTCTGGTTTCGCCTGACTTACTTCCAGCCCATCCCTATACCACGCATCATCAGTCTTCGAGGCGGTCAGTGGTTAAGCATTCGTGATATATGTCTTACCACCTCAAATGATGAAGTTTCACTACTTCATCTGTTGATCTGCTTTCCTTACCTAATACCCATTTCCTAACAACAGCATTACTTACTCGGTGGTCCGATAATATCAGTCAGTTACAACGTAGAACTTCGCACATGAGTACATACATGTTTGATTAGTAAACAATTAATCGAAATAAGATCATGTTTCTTAATGGGAAACTATGAAGGAGTGAGGACAAATGAACTTGTCTTGATACCTTTACTATCTTGATAAGAGTGAAAAAAACGGTTGTTGCAAAATAATAATCTTTATATTTATAAGTATATCAATTTCTATAATAATGTCGATGTTAAAATATGACAAACTGTTAACAACTGATATGAACCTAGAACACAGAAATTAATTTATATCATTATGAATCCATCTTTGACTTTGTCGATTCGTAATGGACGTTACTTGGATGTTATGTAGAAGCTGATGGTCACTGATCACTCTGAATTAAACGTTATTTCACTGACATATGTTACACTTTCAATTTCTTGCTATATTCCTTTGTTCCCATAAATAGACATAATAATCTTGGTGTTAATGTTTAACATAACAATCAAATGTATCCTCTACATTTGTTAAAAAATACAGATGACAGTGAAAGGCATGTACTAGCAAAATCATCTGATTTCGGTCTAACTTGGACTGAACTATTGAAAGATGTCATTCGTGTATGGGCTCCACGTGGAGTTAAAGTTGATATCCCAAGGCCTCATGACAAGAGTACCATTTCATTTGACTCGGAGACAACAAACGAATCTGAAACAATTAAACTAGGACACTTCCTTTACGCTTCACACTTTGTAGACAGCGAAAATCAAACTGTACAACTTAGTGTATCAACAGACGGTGGTCGAACATTCAACAAAGCCCATTTACCAACTATACAAGCAGAAAGAGTAAGTGAAGCACTATTTTTTTCAAGTATCTTAGAAGTCATGATTTGATTATTGTATGAATGATTACTCACTTGAAAGAGCATATTCATTAAGTTTGCAGTAAACTGGGGCAATTTTACACACTATTTATTAAACAGCAATTATAGAAACGTTTAGATGCAAATTGATGTTCTTTCTTCCCATTATAACCTTAGGAATAACCAATAATTTTGTTTATCTAAGCAGAAAGTGTTTTTCTGATCATCTTTTATTTACTAAAAAAGTTTGTGGCTTACATTTTGTCTTAAGTCTTCAGTAAATACCATTATTCTCTTCAATGAATTCTACGTAAAACTTACACACTGTAGTGTGACAGACCACAATGTTTAGTCAAAGTCTAATCTCGTATGAATGTCACTCAGTCAGTCAGTTACAATGTAGAACTTCGTACATAAGTACATCAGTTTATGTCACCATACCACATTAGCACAGAGACGCAAATGTCAAATCAAATCCCATAGTGATAAAGATAGTAGAGGTATTAATGATAAAGAAGAAGAATAGGGTTTGAAGATATTATTCAAAAAGTATAATTCAGTGAGATAAGGTTAGAAAGACAAAATAGAGGTTCTGAGGAATCCAGAAGATTAGGATTTGAGAGAACACAAAGCGTGGATACACCTGCACCATTACAAACGATTTTGAGCCACTTCACTTAAGGTCTCTAACCATTGGTGACTTTCGTCTCGCGGACTGCAACCAGGTAGCCTACATCTACCAACATGACTCAGTCCACTTATCAGTGGCTTCATGGATTCGTGCCATGTTTTGGTCTGGCCGCCCCTAACCTTCTTCCAACCTACTCCTACACCACAAAACATCGCTCATCCAGTCAGTCGGTTGTAGGTCATTCGTAATACATGTCTGTCCATCAACTGAACTACATCAAACAAAATTTTCCCATAAAAAATTATGGAATACGTTTTCTAATCTAAAAACGTATTTCAGTTTTTCCAGATTATTTAATCATTTACATAAAAATCGATTTACTATCGTTTAACTAACCCAATGAAACATTTTAATCGCTTCTAACAACTAACTTACATCAGTCCATTTTTTAAATCATTACGTAGTTGGAAAAAAAAAGAAGTGCGCATAGATGGTATAAACAAACAGAAATTATGTTTAGTGTATTTCAACTTTTGAATTTTTTTTGTTCAGCTATGATTTCTATCCTCTCTAACTATATAATAAATTCTGCTATTAGGAAGCGAGTACTAAGTAACGATGGCAGATCAATTGATGAAGTATTGAAATTTCATCAGTTGAGGTGGTTGGGACATGTGTTACGTATGCCCGAAGACCGACTGGCTTGATTAGCTATGTTTTGTAGGAGTAGGAGTAGGTTGGGAGACAGTTAGGGGCGGCCAAACCAAAACATGGCACAAATTCATGAAATCACTGACTACTGGACTGAATCATGTTGGCAGATGTAGGCTACCTGGTTGGGATCGGCGAGATGATGGTTAGAGAGCCTGAATGACATGGCTCAAAATCGTTTGCAACGGTGCAGGTGCATCCACTCTTTGTGTACTGTCAAATCCGAATCTTCTGGATTTTTCAACTCTTCCACTTTTTTGAAACCATGAACCGATCACTGTTAGACCACCATTAGAAACCTGGAAGCACTGGACGGCCGTTTCGTCCTGGTATGGGACTCCTCAGCAGTGCGCATCCATGACTCCTGCACCCCACAGGATCCGAACCCAGGACCTTTGGTATTGTAGGCAATTCTTCTACTATCTCTACCTCTATGGGATTTGAATTGACAATCGCATCTCTGTGCTAATGTTGTATGGCAACATGATCTGATGTAATTACGTACGTAGTTTTACGTTGTGACTGACTGACTGATCTCACAAATTCATCAGTAATCTATAGTTAAGTTGTATTTTTTTCATGAATTAGAAATGAAGATTCATTACTTTCGTTTAAAAAAGTCAAAACGTTTAAAAAATACCTTACATTCTTAGTTGGATGGTTTCATTATGAGCCATATCATTGTCCTTATTGAAAAATCATCGGAAACTATATTTTTGAGAGAAAGTGTGTGTGTATTGAAAATGATGTCTAGATAGACAACAAAAGTATTACGGTTAAAATAATCCCCTTATCAGATTCAATATCCTAAAAGTTCTTAATTTATCCCAAAAATTACTGAGAAACTACCATAGAATATAGTTCATACATGAAATATCTGGTTGCTACTTTTGAAGGATAACTTAAATTAAATAAAACAGATGTTCTTGAGTTTAATTTTTCTAAAAATCTGTTTCTGACTTTTATTGGTACTTGTGCTATGTATGTATAAACAAGTCAAGTTCAAATGGAATATATTTATACTTGAAGAAGACATTGTTTATTTATCAAACATTGAATAAATAACGTTCAAATATCCTGTTTGCAGTCCAAACAGGATATTTTGACAGTCTTCTCTCATTATCTCTTCTGGTGTTCAAGACATTCTGGTCCCCTCATTCATATCAGTCTCTAGACATTTCACTCTCTAGTGACACTTTTTTGTAAACTTCATGTATAATATCTTAGCAGGGGGATAGCATCCACTACACATGGCTACTTAGAATAAAGTGCATATTATAAAATTATGTTAACTGATTGATAGTTCTGTAAATGTATGAACACATACATTGAGAATATTTCATTCAATAAGATTGGAGAAAATGAATTAAGGTTGAATCGAAGCATTTTGACTAGTCAAGTTGGTCATTAACTACTTATAAGATCTATTTTGATAAGGTTTTGGCAAAATTTAACAACCTAAAGGTGACTTATTTCTTGTTTATGACTTAGCATAAAGTGATCAGTAGAGAATTTTTAAAATAATCTATTATCGTTATTATTACAAAAAACTAAGGTAATGTAATCAGTCCGAAAATGTTTATTTTAAACTGTATTCATTTGTTGTAGTAGAATATTATGGCTACAGTTATTCAGATTACTTTTTTAATGATCCAAGCATATACTCCTACTAGTTCTACTCTAGTGAAAGAGAACACAGGTGGGGCAATCGAATGTATTTAACGAAATTACAGAGTTACTCGGTAAAATTGAAAAACCATATCGTAAATCGTTAATTTGCAAAATATCAGTTCATCATATCGAACTGGACTGTTCCTGTTGCAAAACATCAATCCATTGTCACTATTCATGCGTTTCATACAAATTCCATTGTGTTCCCACTCTTCTTCCTTTCTTGATCTTCCCCCATCTTCTGCTGCCAGACATTACGTTTTTACTCACGTCATATACTACTTATAAGTAGCTCGCACCACACTATTACCATAGGATTTGAATCGACAATTCCATCTCTCTGTACTAATGTGGTATGATAACTTGAACTGATATATATCAAGTTCTGCGTTGTAGCTGACTGATTTACATCACTAATGGTAATATTGACATGAAATAGATGAGATATAGGGCTAACAGTGAAATCCTAGATGCATGTTTCGTTTCCCATGAAGCTCGTCAGTTAGATGTTACCATATCCTAGAAATTGTGTGTTCAGTCCGGAACTCGAACAAAATACTGTTCACTAAACATACCGTCGTATTTTCCACTTAGTAGCCGATAGTTAGAGACCATAAACGATATTGCTCAAAATCGCTTGTAGTGGTGCAGGTACATCCACTCTTTGTCTTCTCTCAAATTCTAATCCCCTGAACTCCTCACCTCGATCTTTCTCTTTCTAAAGTAATCTCACTGAGTTATACTTCTTGAATAATATCTTCAAACCTCAATCTTCTCTATTACCGCTCATACTTCTACTTTATCTATCCACATGGGTCTTGAAGTGACAGTTGCGTCCCTATGCTAATGTGGTGTGGCAATTTGAACTTATGTGTGTATATACGTACAAAGTTCTACGTTGTAACTGACTAACTGACTGACGGACTGATAACTCGTTGATCATAACTGTATTAGGATATAAAGAATATACTGAGTAGTAAAATTCAAGCAGTATATCAACTGAACAAATTATCGACCTCAATTGATCAGTCAGTCCATAAATAAACCGGCATTTGAAGTAAAAGCTAGTGATTTCAATTACCACTGTTCACGTCAACACCATGGTCGTAATACATCTGTGGTGCACGCTACTTATAAGTAGTATATGACGCGAGTGTAAACGTAATGTCTGGCAGCAGAAGATGGGGGAAGATCAAGAGAAAGGAAGAGTGGGAACACAATGGAATTTGTGTATGAAACGCATGAATAGTGAAATGTCAGACAATGGATTGATGATGGAATGATGATTTGCAAATTAACGGTTTACGATATGGTTTTCCTATTTTACTGAGTAACTCTGTCATTTGCGTTAAATACAATTCGGTTGACCTCACCTGTGTTCTTCTTCACTACACATCCACCTAATACATCCCTAACAGAATAAAATACTTATTCTATAATACACTACAAATTACAATTGACTTATTTTAAACTATCACAATCATCGGTACAGAGTGTTTTGTTTAATATAGTTCATGCTATAAAACCATGTCTTACGTTTGTGTTAGCCCCCTTTTTAAACTAAATAAAATATAAAACACAGATTTCGGTATACATTGAAAAATCATCAAATTTATTTGGTCAAATGCACATACACTGTTTCACGTTTCTATGCCGATTGTAAATCATAACACAATAGCAATAATAATAATAATAATAATAATAATTTAAGCAAATTAGTTTCAAATCAAATATCAAATCCAATTAATGACTGACTTTCTTATAAAAACAATTAAAAATAAAGTTTAATAGGCATTTCTGTCTCTCACTCGTTCGCTCCCTCGCTCTCTCTCTCTCTCTCTCTTGGTCTCTTTGTCCCAATAAAAACTTTTCCAACATGCATTGACTACAGTTTCAAACTACAATTTCAAAACTAATCAATAAACAAACCAATGTTCACGAATTGTTTATGTATGTATATACATTATCTAACTAACACCGATTCAAATGTATCATCATCCATCTTCAAATTAATGCGTACAAATTTGTACCAATCTACAGATATTTATGTTCACGTGTATATATATATATATATATATATATATATATATATATATATATATATAGAAATCTATTACTATAAGTTATTCAGTGCAATTGTAATTGTAATTGTATTTTCAGTACTATCCCTTAAAGCACACACACCCAAGCACACACACACGCACGCACACACGGAAAAAATGTTCGCGATGACATTTTTCGGTCATATCAAAATTTGTCCAAACTCGATGATGATGATGAAATGAATTACTTTTGTCATTATTATTATTATTATTATTACGATTATTAATGTAAACCCACGAATAAAACGATAGTGAAAGCGTGGGTACGAATATATATATATATATATATATATATATATATATATATATATACATGGGTATGTAATTCCTGATAAAATACTGCATCATATCCACTTACAGTACTTAAATGTTAGCATATAGATATATATTATCGTTATTAGTTATTGTATTTTACAATGAATGTTAACTACAATACGATTGTTTAAGTAGTAGGTTTGTTGAGATTACTTTTTATTCTGTCGTTGATATTATTACATTGAAGTGAGTGGTGAGCGCCGATCAATCAATGAATGTTAGACTAGCATTAGAAATCTAGAAGCACTGAACGGGTGTGTTTCATTCTAGCATAAGACTTATCAGCAGTGCTCATCATGCTGCTCCTGCACTGGGAGTAATTGAACTTAGGACCTATGGTACAGCACAAATGCTGAACGTTCAGATCACTGAACTGGTAGACAATAGTGGTAATTTCTGATTTTCAATCAATCGATGATAATACTTGACCTCATCCAAGGTGTTCGGTAGGTAACTGTCTCAAATCTGACAAGGTTGAACTCCACTACTCATGGTTTCTCATTAGAACTCCGAAAATTCCCTCACAAAATTAATCATTAGTAGGCACATGATAATGTTTCATTATAGGGTTGGTATCGGTCAAAACTGATTTCAGAGCGCTAGACAGCTACTTCTTTCTAGTATGAAAATTCCAAGTGATTGCTAGCCAATATCTCATCAGAAAATAAACTACTGATCAAAGCAAATAACTAACTATCGCTTCTTGGCCATCAGTATTGCCTTTGACGATAAGTCTGCTAAATGAATGCAAGATATGATTTCCAATCTGCTTATCATATCCTCTGACTAAATATTTACTGTACCTTGAACACAGAAGAAAAGGCTCAAAGTACGCGATAAGCACTTTACTCTAAGGTTAGTTTTTGTACAGAAAAATGAGGGCATTTCTAGAACTATTCATGACTTTGGGCTTTTGAGAGTTTTAGGAACTCTACTAAATATAATAGCTATTTTCGAAACCATGAATCGATCTATGTTAGACCACCATTAGAAACCTGCAAGCACTGGGACTCCTCAACAGTGTGCATCCACGACTCCTGCACCTCGCAGGGTTCGAACCCAGGACCTTCGGCATTGTAGGCGGAGTCCACACACGAACAGGTTGAACTTCACTGGTCATGTCTCACCACAAGAACTCGGAGAAGATTCCTCATGAAGCTAGTCACTAGTTACCACAGGTAATCTACATTACGGGGTTGTGAAGATCGTTAAGTTACACACTTTTGAAACCATGAATCGATCAATGTTAGACCCATACCAGGACGAAACTGCCGTCCAGTGCTTCTAGGTTTCTAATGGTGGTCTAACGTTGATCGATTCATGGTTTCAAAAATGTGTAACTTAACAATCTTCACAACCCCGTAATGCGAATAGCTATTTGACTAAATATTCAATCGGTATCGTGTCACGTGTTTCTGCAAAGATTCCATTCAATGCCGATTGAATGAAACGTTTCCTTATGTTCCTGGACTTGTCATTTTATAATACACAAATGATTTATACTACTGAAGTAAAGCTAATCAGTAATCATGAATAAGTAGAATGGAACAAACTATTCTACAGAGTAAAGGGAAAAAATATACATTAGTAAACCACATTGTATATATATATATATATATATATATATATATATATATATATATAATATATATATTTATATGACACTAAACATTATTTCATTTCAAATTATTATACATTATATGTTTACAGTTTGAATCTTACCACTGATAGTCAGGGTTGTAATTGATCAGTCTTATTTTGGTATATATGCATCCTGTATGGATTGCTTCGATATGGTGATTAAGATTTTTGGGCAATAAAATACACAGATGGATCGTAGGCTAGCAGTGGAATCCAGAGGACATGTGTTTTGTCCTATTGGGGAAATCGCACAAGTTAGTGGCTGACTCAGTAGCTAAGTACATAACGCGATAACATTTGAAATGAATGGTAAAAGGTTCAGGTCCCTGAGTGAATATCAATTCTAAAATGCAGGTACATCCAAATGACATGACCGCTAAAATGGGACGGAACACGCGTCCCAGGTTTCACTGCTAGCCAATATCCTGCTTATATAGACAATTTGCACATTGAACTTATGAATGGATCAGTGTTAGACCACCATTAGAAACCTGGAAGCACTGAACGGCCGTTTCGTCCTGGTATGGTGCTCATCAGTATGCGCATCCATGACTACTGCTTTTGGCAGGATTCGAACTTAGGACCTTCGGTCTTGGACGCGAATGCCTAACATATTCAGCCATGAAATTAAATTTTAATATTTAGGAGGAAAATAAGGCTTGAAACATTTTGTGTCACTTCGATTGGTTGGTATTTGAATCAGGTCCTTGTGTTCCTCGATCAGTACCACGGCTTACGGTCTATTACAAATGCTGTACATGTATTCACTTTCTATCTTTGCGCAGATTTTCACTCTAGCAAATTGTTTTCAACTATATTTTTTCCATATTTTGTTAAAAGTTTTAAAATTAATGGGTTTATTTAAATAAAATTGAAAAGACTTAAACTGGGCATTGGTTGTATGGACTATATCTATACTGACTGATACGATATCTCCATAAGAATAGTTTCCCACTAAACTCATTTAATCGTTTACTATTGAGAAGACTAATTAAACTGTATCTAGAAAATATAAATCGTTCGTGGTTGGCAATGCCCATCGTGATGACTCAATCGAGCTACAATGACTTAAACATGCGATCCTTTAAGTCCTAACATACGATTCAGGCTGGTCGGAAATCAGTAGGAGTAAAAGCAGCAACTTAGAGCTTGAGGTCAGCTAGCATCTGCAGCAACGCTACCTTCTCAAAACCGAAGGAAAAGGTGCGCAAAGATAGACTCCTACTCCATGGATTTCCATCGCTGGCGGTAAGATCTTAGGAAAGGTGGCGCTGAGACGTTGAAAAATTTTACATAATAGGACCATCCATGGCCGATCCTCTGGATTCTGTGGTTACACTTCTAGGTGACTAAGACCAACACTAATCAAGCTAATTTACCTCAAAAATGATATTTCCTTCTTTCAGTGTAAGCAGCTAAGAAATGACCGCCATCCTCATTCCTCCTAGTTTGCATACTAGATCAACTTGTTCACAGTCAAACCGTTCCCCTGCCTCTTATTAACTCTGTTAACTTCAGGACTGAACTACTTGATTTCATGATTGTCTACTTTAATTATTATTTTAAAAAGCTATGATCGGTTGAGTTAAACGATATCGTTCGATGAGGCCTTTACTGGTTCATAGTTTTAAAACAAGATTACTCAACATTATGAATTGACTGAACTAGAAAATATCAACCATAGTATGCTAAGACTAAGAGCTGCCTGCCTGATCTGATGTCTCATAAGTTCGATTGCCTGAGAGCAATTCTAGTTGCAAACCATATACTTCCTACATTTCAGTATCAGTTCGTGATTTAAATTATTAGTGTATATATTTATACATTATATAATTTATGAAATTATTTTTAAAAATTTTTTTCTGTGTTTTCTTTTTCAATAAACTTTAACCGCTATAGTTCTACTCAGTACTGGAAGTGGAAGATGATTCAGCATTTGTTCATGTGGATGCTCCTAATGGTAAGTGATTACGAATGTTGTTTTTCATTTCTTTACATTTTAATTACTTATACAGATTAACTTTGGTAGAGTATAAGCTGCCGACTAGCATTCTCCAACTAACTCTATCCTGGGCTCTTCTTTCCATTCGCTCTCAATCGCCATACATTCCTTTTGATTTATAACTTCAATTCTTGGCTCATTGTGTTCTTTGATCTACAACTTTGCCTTTGGCTTTGAGAATTTCAAGTTACGGGTTTGTTTAATGGAGCAGTCGGGTGATGTACACTTACTGACTTAATCATTCACTTACTTACTGATTTACTTACTTACGCCTGTTACTCCAGATAGAGCATACATAAGCTGCCGACTAGCGTTCACGCACAATACCAAAGACCCCGGGGTTCGAATCCTGCCAGGTGCAGGAGTCCAGGATGTGAACTGCCGATGAGTTCCATACCAGGAAGAAACGGCCCTCCAGTGCTTCCAGGTTTCTAATAGTGGTCTAAAAATGATTGATTGATGATTTCAAATGTGTAAAAGCACAAACCTCCAAAGCTCTGCCCGAAAATAGCATTCTGTAACCGATTTGTGTCCTGGTGCTTTCCTTTCTAGTTCTGTCTAATTTCGTTTATGGATTAAACAAAAGAGAAAAACCCCAAAAGGTTTTTGAATAATTAGAATTTACTGACTGCGTTCAAAGATCGAATTCAATAACTTTTAAAGAACTAAACAGAAAATATTTTAATAGTGTTCATGCGTTGAAGACAGACTTTGAAAATATCAAATTTGTTAGGGTTCAACACATATGAAGAAAAGATAATTGACATATAGTGTTTAACAACATATCGATTCAGTTAGTCAGCAATAAAACGTGGACCGTCGTGCGTACATACATCAGTTCCAGTTTCCACACCATATTGTCACAGAGAGATTGAACTGTCAATTCAAATCCTGAAGTGGTAGATGTAGTAGACATTTTAGCGGTTATGCAGAATATTAGGATTTGAAAATATTATTCAACATGTATAATCCAGTAAAATAAACTTAACAAGAGAAAGGTTATGATGAATTCAGAAGATTAGAAATTTAGAGAACACGAAGAAGGGATGCACCTGTGCCACTGCAAACGATTTCGAGCCACGTCATTCAAGGTCTCTAACCATCGATCGTCAGGTTATGACAAATTCAGAAGATCAGAAATTGAGAGAACACGAAGAACGGAAGCACCTGTGTCATTGCAAACCATTTTGAGCCACGTCATTCAAGGTATTCTAACCATCGATAGTCAAGTTAATTAAATTTAGTGAGATTTTCACTTATAATCTGTTTGTTGATGAATACTACTATGTCAGAGATTCATAGAAAAATTATTCAGTACATGATTCTATACTTCTTATTATCATATTTCAAAAGATTTAATTACTTTTTTTGTTATTTTGGAGTAGTTAGTTAGGCAAGATATCCTTTGTCAGTTAAGTCACACTGTCGTTAACAATTTTTACCACTGTGTTTGCCTACAAACAGTCATGAAATTTGATATGTAATATAATCATCATCTAGCTTCATATGAAACTAATTTGAAGCTGTGACTAATCGAATGTGGTAGGATTAATATTCGATCAATTCAATCAATGATACAAGTTTTTTATTTTTAAAAATATTATAATGTAAGATGTCATTGTAAAGGTCACAAGGTTAATACTATGCAATAAAGACACACGTGTATTCATGATTCAACTAGTTCATAACAACAATTGACATATGATGCTGATGATGTTTATATTTATTAGAATCACAGTTATTGGTCAGATGTTTGCAACAGTTTGATGTAGTATAAATATTCCAGCATAGATTGATCTGTAGCTAGACTACTAGTAAAAAATCTGCAAGTACTGAACAGATGAGTTTTTTCTCAACTGGACGTATCCATGTTTCCTATACACGGGAATGGAGGGACCTTTGACCTTCGGTCCAGCGTGCGAAAACTGAAACCTCTAGACCAATAAATGTTAATCTCGAATTTTAATCAATTCATTATCTTGTGCAGCGTCTATATCCACTGCCTGTGGTAGATAACTTTCTCCTACCTGACATGAATTAAACTGTACTAGTGTCTCTCACTATGAAAGTATGTTCGGGATGAGGTTCTCACCCTCGAAATGCAAAATGTTGCTTCAAGATTGGGTTGCATCGGCACCTGAACTAGTGATAGGGAGTAAATTAGTCGAGCGTGTTGACTCTCTCACTTATCAGGGGAGTCTGATCAGTGCTGATGTCCTGGTGGCTGACGAAATCTCAGCTCGGATACAGAAGGCTCGATTAGCTCTTGCCAACCTGCGTCACTTATGGCATAGGCGAGATATCCGTTTACTGAATAAAGGACGAGTGTACTGCACAGCAGTTCGCCCTGTCCTACTATACAGATGCGAAATATGGCCGTTAAGAGTAAAAGATGTTCGTAGGTTACTGGTCTTCGATCATAGGTGTGTCCGGAGCATTGCTCTTGTATCCTAGGACGACCGAGTAAGTAATGCTATCGTTAGGATACGAGTTCTAGGTAAAGGTGGAAAACCAATATATTAAGTAGTGAAACTTCATCAGTTAAGGTGGCTGGGACATTTGTTGTGTATGCCTAACCACCGACTACCGCGATTAGCTATGTTATGTGGTGTAGTAGTAGGCTGGAAGAACGTTAAGGGCGGCCAAACCAAAACATGTCACAAATCCATGAAATCACTGACTACTGGACTGAGTCATGTTGGTAGATGTAGGCTACCTGGTTGGGGTCCGCGAGATGATAATAGTCGATTTTTTGAGACCTTGAATGACATGGATCATAATCGTTTGCGATGTCGCAGGTGCATCCACTCTTTGTGTGCTTTTTAATTCTAGTCTTCTGAATTCCTCATAATCTATATCTTTCTCCTGATAAATTTATCTCACTGAATTATACTTCTCGAATCATATCTTCGCCCCCTAATCTTCTCCATGACTGCTAATAATTCTACTATCGCTATCACTCTTTGATTTGAACTGACAGTTACGTGTCTGTGCTGACATGGTATAGCAACCTGAACCGATGTACTTATGTACGAAGTTCTGAGTTGTATCTGTCTGTCTGTCTCTCACTAGAACTATAAAAATTCATCTTGACACTGATCACTATTGATCATGTGACTATTATCATCAGTGAAGGGAACCGATTGAAGAAGGCAATTATTATTTTCACGGTCGAAATCCTAAACTCACTCTAGCTACAAATTATCATGATCAACCTGTAACTACTACTACTACTACTAACCGACAGTTTCGTCCCATTTTTCGGCCAATTAAAAATGTTGTACAATGAATTACTCGATGCATATATATATAAAATCACAACTTACAAGCACACAATGCAGATATTAATCCTACTAACATTTGAATTAAAAAAAATTTATACTATAAATATTTATTTCATTGAATTCTAGTACTGATTAAACAATTTTATATGACTATGATACATTTGTACATATATATTTTAAGTTCAAATGTGAACGCCACTTTACAAACTGCGCCAAACATTTATATCTCATATAACAACGAACGATTGTATACCAAATTGTATCATCCAACTTATCATCTAATTTATATATGTCAAAAAATAAATTAAGATTTTGAAATGAATTCACATGTATATATAATCAACATTATGATAAATGATTTTGTAGACAGATAAAACTTTTAATTATTATAAACAATTTTATTATTATTATTAGTATTATAGTTTTATTGATTAAGTCAGCGGTGTAAGTCACAAGTTACACATTCTCTTGTTTTTGAAAATGTAGATTCTCCTTCCTTATAATAAATGATGATGTAACAATTTATTGACATGAAATAATCCGAAAAACTTGATAATAATAATATGTTATTTTTCATAGTTGAAATCAAGAACTGATCTTATCTATTAGACCTCTATCGCGGATGGTGATTTCGTCCTAGTTTGAGACTCATCAGCAGTCCACATCCATGATAACCACACATGACAATTGAACTCTTCACTGATATGATATCTTAGTTTGTGAAGATGAGTAATGTGATACAAAGACCACTAGATTCCTTAAGACTACATGTATATCGTGAAGAAGAGTTCAGTTGGCACGAGTCTATGCTATGCAGTGTTTTCATGTTTTCCTGTTTACGTACATTTGTAACTCCCTAGTGAAGTATATACCGTCAGTCAGGAATATCCTACGCTACACTATCCTAAGCTCTCTTTTCCAGTTCCTCTAAAGTGCTATTCAGTTGTTAGTGTGATGTGTCCTTTGCTCTATCTCTCTTTTTCTTTCCTGTTGAAAACCCCAATTTAGGGCTTACCTTTTGACGCGGTTTGATAATTTCTTCACTATATATCCTATCCACATCAAATGTTTAATTCACTGAGTTCTTCCTCAGTTGTAAAACGTTTCGGTTCGTCACTAAGTATGCTTAAAACTATTACGGGTTAACCTTAGTCGATAAACGCGAACGAGACAATCAACCAGCATCCAAGTAGGCTACCCCGATTTGCTGACTAGTGAAAAGTCTTGATGTAGCGTAGGAACTATATTCTACAAACACCCAACAAGTACAATGCAATCAAGCACACAAATCTGATTTCTTTATACATCATAGAAACGTTCTTGAGACAGTAATAAAAATAGCACACTAAAATAACACAGCAGCCAATCACAGCCATGTATTTTCCTGGTTGCAACTGAAATCTCACGGTCATCTGATCAGCCCATGCTGGCAAACGTGCAATCCAAAATTAAGGCCTTTATCAAACGAGTTCTGGGAGTCTAAAATCCCCAACAAAAACTTATTTATTCTTCTTCATAACCGGGTGTTACCTATCTTCAACTATCAAATTTCAACACACGAATTCTTTACTCATTCTGTATGTAGAAAAATTAAGTTTCTTTTATAATGAACAAATAATTTAATCTCACCATAAAAGTTAGTATTATTCAAAAACTAGTGAATATTTATTACTT